AAGTTCCCCAGCTTTCCCACCTCCATACTCCAAAAAAGCTATTGATGTTTTCTCAGACCAGCACTCCCTACACACGGAACCTGGCCTTCATCGTTCACAAGGATTACTGAACACCCTGCAGTGCTCCAGGGACTCCAGGCTAGAAGTCCCTGCGGTGTGGTTAGGGGAGGAGAAATTCCAGTTTAGTTCTGCCCCAACTGGCTGGGAGTCTTGGGCCAGCTCCTGGCCGCCTTGACTTGCACTGCCCTCTAGAGCCTGAGAAACTGGGCTAGGGGAGACTCACGGCCCGCCTGCTCTGCCGCCTCCCTGGGATTACTTCAACTCATCCTGCTGGGGACAGTGTAAGAGAAGGGTGGCTTCATACCCCGCTGAGAATCTAGACCTACACTCACCAGAGCTGGGGTGTCGCACTCACACTAGACCTCCCTCCCCAAATTCCCAACAGTATCTGCTGCCCCCTAGCCTCTGCCCGTCCAAATGAGTCCCGGGGGGTGGTGGGGGGGCGGCAACTGGAGCCTCTGGGAGCTTTGGAAGCTCTGGGCTCTGATTCACGTACACATCCAATCAACCTACCTTCTATGTTTGTTTTGTTTTTTTCATTGGCTATATCAATCATTCACCACATTTATTAAGCACCTGCTCTGTACCTTGGGCTAAGCATAATCCAAGGTGAAATCATTTCCATCCTTCTGGGTCCTGCCAGAATCTCACGTCCTCCCAATCTTTGATGGCCCACACGGGATAACCCTCCCAACTGGTTCATTTTGAAACTGAATCCCTCTTCTACTCAGCAAGCTGCACAGTGTGGCCACTTCTAGGCAGAGCCTGGCCTTGTTTGTCACATCTTGTTCCCTCCTGCTGCCAACCAACAAGTTTGAACCCACAGTAGGAGATGAGGAAAGGAGTTCTGTCTGTCCTAGAATCCAGAAAGTCTTCAACAAAATGAACTGGCTGAACCCTGACAAGGGTATACTGGATGTGTTTCTTGCCATTTTGTTCTAGTGCTTGTCACTACTAGCTATTATATGTAAACTGATTTGTCTTATCTCCTCCATTAGAATGAAAACTATGAGCACAGAGACTCTGGTTCACTGCTGTATGCTTTATATGAAAAAAAAGTTCAGTAAATCTTTGTTAAGTACAAAATTTTATAAAGTTGAGACCAGATTCTATATGCAATGTGGTATTCTTCTGCCAGAGTTGAATCCTGGTATGGCCACTCATCAGCTGTATGGCCTTGGGCAAGTCATTGAAACTTTCCACTCAGTTTTTCTTACCTGTGGTGTGAGAATGATTGCAGTTTCATCCTTGAAGAGGAATGAGTCGAGTGAAGAGCACAAATAAAGAGAACAGTGAGTGTTTAGAACACAGAAAATGCTAAACAAGTGTTAGTGATTATTATAACTTTGTTCCTTCAACAATGCTAGGAGCTTTCCCCACCTAGCTCAGAAACCTGATTGCTATTGGAGACCCATTATACCATTGGACCAAGGTAGAAGTTTATATATATGAGCAAGAGCAATGTGTGTGTGTGTGTGTGTGTGTGTGTGTGTGTGTGAGAGAGAGAGAGAGAGAGAGAGAGAGAGAGAGTTGAAGGAGATTGGCTTTCATTAGGTTCCCCAAAGTCTAGACCCAACAGAATTTATTATTTTTTTAAAGAAAATATGTATTTGGAGAGGGTTTCCTTGTTGATTCACAGAGACAATCTTGTGGTTAAAAAAAATTTTTTTTTTTACATATTTACTTCTGAGAGAGGGGAAGGGAGGAAAAAAGAGAAAGAGGGAAACCACAATGTGCAAGCGATACATCAGATCGGCTGCCCCTCGCGTGCCCCCAACTGGGGACCTGGCCTGCAGCCCAGGCATTTGCCCTGACCGGGAACCAAACCACTGACATTCTAGTCCGTGGGCCAGCGCTCAATCCACTGAACCACACCAGCAATTTCACCCAGCAGGATTTAAGAAGGACTGCGCAGAAGCCTGGCTTGAAGGAGACTCTTTCAAGCAGCAATTTCCAGAATCCTGGTGTGAACCATGCAATAGGGAGCCCTGCATGGTTTCCTTGTTTTGATTATTGATGGAATTCTTTTTTTTAAAAAGGATTTTATTTATTTATTTATTTTAGAGGGAGGAGGAAAGGAAGGAGAAAGAAAGGGAGAGAAACATAGATCAGTTGCTTCTCACACGCCCCCAACCTGGTCGACAACCCTGGCAAATGCCCTGACCGGGAATTGAACAGACAACCTTTTGGTCTGAAGGCCAGTGCTCAATTCACTGAGCCACACCAGCCAGGGCTTGATGGGATTCTTGATACAATAGTTACTTCTGTAATACTAGGAGATAAGGCCTGGGAAAGACCTTTGGAAAGTCGAGGGTCCAAGGCTCAGATTAGGAATGTCATTGCAGGCACCCAGAGCCCACTTCCCTCCTATGCCAGCCCTACCAGCCTAGAGTCTGGGAGCCTGTTCTTACGGGTGGGTGATTCTACACTCCCCAGCAGGTGGCGCTACTGTCCTGACTATGCTGAAGGTTGCCAGGTAGGAGACCTGTTCTCAGAGGCTGGGACGTGGACCAGTCCTAAGGGGTAGTGCAACGAGTGCAAAGCTATCCCATTCATTCATGAATTCAACAAAAACTAAGTGAACACCAACCATGTGCCAAGCACTGGGAATTTAGCCAGGAACAAGACAGATCAAGTCTTGCTTTTCCAGGATTTATATTTTAGAGTCAGGTAGTCAAATATGGTAGCTACTAGGCACACGTGACTATTGAACACTTGAATTTTGTAGCTAATCTGAATTGAGAAGTGCTGTTCAGAGTAAAATACACACCTGATGTCAACGATTTGGCTAAAATAATGTAAAATATCTAATTAACATTTTTAATTGGTTTTATGTTGAAATGACCGTATTTTGGGTTAAAGAAAATATCTTATTAAAAAGAATTTAAGCCCTGGCTGGTGTGGCTCAGTGGATCAAATGCCAGCCTGCCAACTGAAAGGTCGCCGATTTGATTCCCAGTCAGGGCACATGCCTGGGTTGCAGGCCAGGTCCCCAGTTGGGGGTGTGCAAGAGGCAACTGATCCATCTTTCCTTCCCTCACTCTCTTCCTTCCTTCCCTTTTCTCTGAAAATAAATAAATAAAATCTAAAAAAAATCTAAGATAAAAATAAGGGTAAAAGATGGATTGGATTAAAAAAACAATAACTATCTATATGCTATTTTCAAGAGACTCATCTTAGATATAAGGACCCAAGAAGACTGAAAGTAAAAGATTGGAAAAATATATCCCATGCAAATATTAACTAAAGGAGGTCTATGTGGCTATATTATTATAAGATAAATTAGACCTAAATCAAAACAGGTTACAAAAGACCAAGAAAGAAATGTATTGATAAATGATACAACATATCAAGAAAATATAAAAATTATAAACTTATGCACATCTAACAACAGAGCCCAAAAATACATGAAGCAAAACTGACAGAATTGAGAGGAGAAACAGTTCTACAGTAACAGTGGGAAACTTCCGTGTTCCACTTTCAATAATGGACAGAGCAACCAAACAGAGGATCAGTAAGGAAATGGAGGACTTGGACAGATAGATTAATGGACACTCCACCAATGAAAACAGGATACACATTCTTTTCAAGTCCACAGGGAACATTCTCCAGGATAGAATGTATGTTAAGTCACTAAACAAGTCCTGAGAAATTTTAAAAGGTTGAAATTGTACAAAGTATCTTTTCTGGTCACAATAGAATAAAACTAGAAATGAGTAAGTGAAGGAAAACAAAAAAATATCACACATACACGGACATTTTAAAACATATCCTACAATTGTTAATTTTATGAGTCAATTTGACTGGATCACAGGTTACTTAGATATTTAGACAAACATCACTCTGGCTGTGTGTCTGTGAGGGTGTTTTGGGGTGCAATGTACATTTGAATAGTCTGTGTAGAGCACATTGCCCTCCCTAATATGGTGGGCCTCATTCAATCAATTGAAGATCTGAATAGAACAAAAAAAGCTGAGTAAAAGCAAACTCCTCTTGCCTGATTACTTGAGCTGGAACCCTGGTCTTTTCCAGTTTTGGGACTTGAACTGAAATATCAGTTCTTCTTGGGTCAAATTTCTGATTCAGGTGAGGAAAGCTCCTAGCAATATTGAATGAACAAAGCAGGATAATAATAGTAACAATAACAATAACCACTAACACTCATTTGTTGATAAGACACTTGGATTTGTTCATTTCTTTTAATTGTTGGGTAATAGTCCATTGTATGGCTATAGCACAATTAGTTTTTTCTGTTCATCCGTGGGATATTTGAATTATTTCCATTTTTTTGGCTATTATGAATAAAGCTCTTGGGTGGAATTATGCTTCCATTTTTGGGGGGAAGGAAGACAAATACTTAGGAGAACAATGGCTGGACCATATTGTAGGTATAAATTTCGTTTTTAAAGAGATGCTAAACTGTTTTTCAAAGTGGCCAAAAATAATCAATAGATGAGGGTTCTGGGCACTCCACACCCTTGCTAGTCTTTAATTTTAGCCTGTTTTTTAGGGGCTGTGTCGGGGTTCTAATTTTACCTGATGAATAATCATGTTAAGCATCTTGTCATGGGCATATTGGCTATTTATCTTTTGTGAGTTATCTGATCAAATCCTTGGTCCATTAAAAAAAGGGGGGGATTTATATCTATTTTTGCAATTAATGTCGGCCACTTTTATGATAGTTCATGCTCATCGTTTTTACAGGCTTTCACTGACGACCTCGCCTGCACAGAAGCAGTAACGGAGAGACCCGGGGGGTCGAAACGGCTCAGCTCGCCTTAGGTACAAAGCCGCTGGGCCGGTTTGCCGGGAGGGTACCCGACCACTCTAAGGCTCGCACAGCACTTGGGTGAAGCACTTCCGCAGGCACTTCCGACTCCCGGCCCGCCCTGAACATTGGTGATTGGCTGGGCTGGCCAAGCGCGAGTCCTCCCGGGAGTTGTAGTTCCCGCGGTTGTGTTGGGGACACCGGGAAGGACCAGCAGTCAGAGCCCAGGATCGGCGGTTGTGCTTGCTCGCCGCCGCTGGCATTATGTCCCGCGTGCTGGTGCCCTGCCATGTGAAAGGCACCGTGGCACTGCAAGTGGGCGATGTGCGGACCTCCCAAGGCCGGCCTGGCGTGCTGGTCATCGATGTCACCTTCCCCAGCGTCGCACCCTTCGAGGTGAGCAAGCCCCGTGGGCGGGGCTGACCTGGGAACTCGGGTGTGTCCCAGGCGTCGACTCTTTTACAAAAAGCCTTAGCACTGGCCTCCGCCCTTGAAAAATCTGTTAACCATTTATTTATTCCTTCAGTTAATACATATTTTTTGTACTAGAAGGGAGCTTACTGTTCCGTTTTCTGCACCGTCTCTCCCCCACATTCAGAACGGCGCTGACAGGGAAGTGCCAAGATAGCAGGCTAGGTGTTGGAAATACAGTTGTGAAATAAGTATAGGTGAGGTCACTTTGTCCCTGGCCACTGGCTGGGGATCAATAGATAATAAGCTACCCCCAAACCTGCCTCCTTTCCATTCCTACAGTCTCTGCTGGAGGTTAGGTTCAACTCATCCCTCATCAGCCTTCTCCCAATGGCTCCAGGTTTTTTGTTTGTTTGTTTGTTTGTTTGTTTTTAATTTGATAACTTGTTCTTTTTTATTTATTGATTTGAGAGAGAGACATGAATCTGTTGTTCCACTTATGCATTCACTGGTTGATTTTTGTATTGGCCTGACCAGGGGATCCAGCCCCCAACCTTGGTGCATCAGGATGATCCTCTAACTAACTTAGCTACTCGGCCAGGCCTGGCTTCCGATTTCAGCCTCCAGTTGCACTTCCACATCAATTGGCAGAGCAATGGGACACTGCAGGACTTCAACACAAAGAATACAGTTTGTTTTCTGATGGTCTGACACTCAGGGCCACTTTGCTTCTGTTCCCGGCCTACCTCTTGCTCCCATGCACTTTGTCCAATTGAGTGTGGTTCTCACCCAAGCTGTTCCTTAAGTATAATCTAGGAAATTCTGATTTGATGGGGTGGAGCCTCTGTGTCTGTGTGTGTGTGTGTGTCTGTGTGTATTTAAACTAAACTTCCTTGGGTGGTCCTGCTGAGTGTCCAGTGATGAGTACTGCTGTAGCCAGACTCAATCACTCGCTGCTATGTGCTGCTCTTACCATCTCTACCTTTCTTGGCCCCTTTAGTGAACTATTCCCCCTTCAGACCTCACCTGTACGTTTTCTGCCTCCTCCAGAAGTTAGGGCTCTGACCTCTGGCATGTATCTTGGGCATATGGCAAGATCTGCAGTTGTCATTTATATGACTTGCTCATGTAGTCTGTGAGCTCCTTTAAGAAAGTGAAATTGTTTTTGAGCCCCAAAAGGACGCCTGTTAGATTGGTAGAAGAGGACATTCCTAAAGCGAGGAGGAAATAGTGCCTTTGAACCTTTCGGGCCCTAGGCCTGGGTGTGATTTGTCATGGTGGGTTGTGTGTGCTCTAGTTGCAGGAGATTACATTTAAGAATTACTACACAGCCTTTCTGAGCATCCGTGTTCGCCAATACACCTCGATGCACACACCAGCCAAGTGGGTGACCTGCCTGCGGGACTACTGCCTGATGCCTGACCCACACAGTGAGGAGGGAGCTCAGGAGTATGTATCGCTGTTCAAGCACCAGGTCAGCTGGGGCTCAGCATGGCCAGGGCAGCCCAGATGAGAGCTTGCCGGGCGCCTGAGATTTGGGCCAGGACACCAGGAGGGATGAGCGGGGCAAGGGTTTCCTGGGCTGTGGCTCTTTGGGAAGTGCCTTCGAGGGACTACTGTTCTTTCCTTCCCAAAGACCTGGGGGGTTAGCAGCTTGGCTCATTGCTCATTGAGCTGGTCAGTGAGCTGGGGCCTCGCTGGGACTTTGTATGTGTATGTGTCAGATGCTGTGTGACGTGAGTCAAATACTGGAGCTGCGCCTGATTCTGCGCCAGCCGTCGCCACTGTGGCTGTCTTTCACAGTGGAGGAGCTGCAGATCTACCAGCAGGGACCAAAGGTGAGTGACTAACTCAGAGCTGCTGGTTGGCCCATTCCCCAGGAGGCTCCTAGCTATGGCTGGCAGAGCTGGGGGTAGGGGTGGGAGTGGATGGGTAAAGATAATGAGACTCAGAAGGAGGCCTTCATGGAAGTCAGCCAGGTGGGAATGTTGGAAGCTCACGACGAGAGGTAAGGCTGTGTTCCCGCATCCCCTGACCTTTGGAGCCACCTGTCTCTTTCAGAGCTGGAGCCTTCAGGTACTGGGAGATACTTCTGTTCCTTGTGTTCCTGGGGCCTCCTTCTGTGTAGCAGAAGAGCTTAGGTAGACTGACTGCCCTTTGGGCCTTTGTGGACCCCTTAACAGGCTTTCCTGGTGTTGAAGGTTCAGGGACCCTTCTCTCTGCTCCCAGGACCTTGGAAACTGGTCCCAGGACTGCCCTGCTCTCCCTCCCTCAGGGAAGTATATCTTTGCTTTGCAGAGCCCCTCCATGACCTTTCCCAAGTGGCTCTCCCACCCAGTGCCTTGTGAGCAGCCCGCGCCCCTCCCTGAGGTAAGCCCTCATTCTGGGTGGGAACCACGTGTGAGTAGCTCTCCTGTCCAGGTGGGCCCCTGACTGCAGGAATCTGGGGCTGGACCTAGTACCCTTGGTTCACCCTTTGCCAGTTTCCTCCTGGGTGTTCCATGACATTTGAGGTCTCTCTGGGTGGGGCTGGCCTGCCTACTGCACATCGGGCCCCAACCTCATGTGTCATAAGTCATCTGGAAATGTTACCGGTCTCAGCTGGAGGGCCTCATAGCCCAACTGGGCCTCTCTGGAGCTCTAAGGGCACTGCTGGGGAGAGACCCCTGGCCACTGACCCCTCCTTCCGGAGCAGGGTTTCCCAGACCCCAGCAGGGTATCCTCCGAGGTGCAGCAGATGTGGGCGCTGACAGAGATGATCCGGGCCAGTCACACCTCCACGAGGATCGGCCGCTTTGATGTGAGTGATCGCTTCCATCTGCTTGGCTCCCATTGCCCTGAACGGATCAGGTCTGATGGGCTTTTGTGTTGCAGGTGGATGGCTGTTATGACCTGAACTTACTCTCCTACACTTGAGTCGTGGTTCTTAAGCAAGACATTGACCTTCTGTGCCCACTGAAGACTGGTTTGGGCCATCAGAGACTGAAGTACTTTCCCTGTGCATTCCGAGTGTTGGCTTGCATGCCCGTTCTGTCTGGGCCACATTCACAAAGTCAAGATTCTAGGGGACTCACTCTGCTGGTCCTGCATGAGCTCCTGGTGGGGAGTGTGCACTCTGTCCTCACCTGACTGCAACCAGAAATTTCTTTTCCTACCCTAAAAACACTCTAGTTCTACGTACTAAGAACCCTTGTGTGCCCTGTGCTGCTTCTGCCAACATGCGCACTCCTGTCTCTGCCTGCTCCCTCACCGGAGTGCAGTGGTCCGGGTGACCTACTAGAACCTGCTCTGTCTAGCGTTGTAGGCTCTTGCAGCCATGGCACTCCTGTGGTTTGGAAGCTTGAGGCAGAAACAGGAGCCCCAGGTCTTCCTTCCGCGCCCCCTAGTGGCCTTCTTTCCCTTTGTGTCATGCCCACAATAACAAATTTGCTGTCTGGATTCCTGCTGCCTGCTTCATCCTTACCGAAGCTGCAGCTGCTTCCACAGAGCTGCTGTGGTCGAAAAGGAGCCCAGAGTGACAGTTTTCCTTGAGGGTCGTCATTCTGTTTTCTGTAACTGATGTGCAACATTGTGGGAAAAGACAGAAGAAAAAACCAAACAATTCCTGCTGCCTGCCTAGGGAGCAAAGGTGGTAATTTGAGCTGCCAGTCCCTTGGTCTCTGAGCTGGCTTCTGGATGTGTGTCCAAGAGGGTCTGGCCACCTAGCCTGGGCAGGAGCCTCTGGCAAGGCCAAGGTCTGAGAACGAGTCCTATGACCTATTTGCTATCTGACACAGCCCTAAGCACATTCTTGTCCCTTCTCCCAGCTGCCCCCTTAAAAAATCCTGCTCAGTGTGATGAGGGGTCATGATGGGGAGTGGGTCCAGGTGAGGGTTCTCATTGTTGCCAGCCATGGAATAATGCAGGCTGCTCATCCTAATAAGAAAACCTTGCTTCTCTGGTTTTTTTTCTTTTTATTTCTGTCGTTGCCCCTGATGACTATATGAGGCAGCACTGCAATGTGTTGGACCTGGAAAATTAGATATTTGTATGGCTCAGCAGCTTTCTGAGGCGAGGTCAGCCACGCTTGGCAGGCCACCCTCTTCTCTCACCCATCGGGGTTCTCACAGGTGGTACCTTTCCCTGCAGGGTCACTTACTCAGCTCCATTCAGCTTTTGTTAAAAGGGTAATGACCTTAGTTCTTTGCTCAGGGAGCGTCGCCCTCTGTGTGTGTGTGCATAAGCGTGTGTGTGTTGAGGGGGGTGTCTCTGGGGTGGCAGGGACAGTGCTTCGTGCACAGCTGTGTCCCCAGCACCTAGAAGGGGGCCTAGTGTGCAGCAAGATCAATAAACACTTGTGGAACACATGACTCCTGGCTGCCTGTGTCCGCCCTGCGGGAGAGCTGGAGACCCTCACATGTGACCAGGTTCCTGTGGTGCTCAGCCTGCCCAGCTGGCTCCTCTCGGACCTCCCTCCAGTGTCCTCTCCATCTTTCCCCCTCCTCCTATTTGACCTTACTCTCCTTGACGTCCTGAGTGCAATTCAAGCCTCTCAGTCTTTTGCCTGAACTTTGGCCCCTGGAGGCAGGGCAGTCCCCTGGGGGAGGTCTGGCCCCAGCCCAGTTTTGGAACATTTTAACAGGGCTGGGAATTTCAATCTGTCCTCAGCCACTGAGAGTGCCCAGGGCTGTTTCCCTGCTGCTGGTACGCGCGCACAGTTTGAGCTCGAGCCCCGCCTGCGCTGCCCTCGGGGCTGCCCGCCCCTCTTCTGATCCCCTTTGTGGGAGTGAGACACGGGTCTGACCAGGTCGCAGACTACATCTCCCAGCGTGCCTGACCGAGTGGTAGCCTCTGTGCGTCGGCTGCACTGGTCGCAGGCCACAATGCAGCGGGCAGTGAGCATGGTGGCCCGCAGGGGCTTGCGTGGGCAGGCGCTTCCCTTGGTCCTGGGCCGTCCACTCAGTGGTGCACAGGTGGGATAGAGGGTGCTGGGGCGTGGTACCAATCTTTGAGGGTGGGGGAAGGGCGGGACTGGGGGCTGGGGTCCTGGTGGCACTGAACCCGGCCGCCCGCAGGACGTGCTCCGTAGGACACCGCTCTATGACTTCCACCTGGCCCACGGTGGGAAGATGGTAGCGTTCGCGGGCTGGAGTCTGCCTGTGCAGTACCGGGACAGCCACGTTGACTCACACCTACACACGCGCCGGCATTGCTCGCTCTTTGACGTGTCCCACATGCTGCAGGTGAGCCAGAGGAGTGCCCCAGCCTCCAGAGCTTCCTCCCTGTCCCCAGGGGTGCCACCATCGGCTTTGTTTGCTGGAAGCTGGATTCCAAGGGCCGCCCTCTCCGAAGAGTTGGAGGTCTCAGGAGTATTGCAGGCTATAGCCAGCAGGAAATGAATCCTGAGGGTTTCCTTATTGGCTCCTCTCTAATCTCTCCAGCCTGCCCCCACTTAGTGAAGACCTTCATGGGGCTGGCACCCATTTTTGTCTACCATCCTGGGTATTGGTTGAGAAAAGGGGGCATTTCAGTAAACTGACGGGCCCTTCCAAATGCCCTACCTTCCCCATGACACACCCTTGTGTACTAGTGAATGTGGGGGAATCAGGAGGTGGGGTCTTGCCGCCTGCAGAACTGCAAACCAGTCACCTTGGCTGGGTTGGACGGTTCCCTGCATGGCAGGGGAGATGCCTCCTTGACCAGTGGGCTTCCAGGTTGGAACTATTGCAGTGTCCTTAGGCTTTTGATCTTTTTCTCAGACCAAGATATATGGTTGTGACCGGGTGAAGCTGATGGAGAGTCTAGTGGTTGGAGATATTGCAGAGCTAAGGCCAAACCAGGTGGGCCCTTCTTACTTCTGCTCAACAGGGTGTTCTTATTCATGAGCCAGCAAAATAGGCTGAGCCCCCACTTTGGGGGGTTGGGAGCACAGTGATGGATCAGACATAGTGTTGCAGCCTTGGGGGATGAAGTCCCTAAGTCATGTCCAGACACCCAACCATCTGCAGGGATGGGCCTATCCCATCCTCCCCACATGAGGCTGGGAGGCCAGAAACCCAGGTTCCTGTCTCGTCCTGTGATCTTCCCATGCTGCCTAACCCCTCGCAATTCAAAGTGTAGTCCCTAAACCAGCAACCTCATCGTCACTTGGGAGTTTGTTAGGAATACAAACCTGCGCAGGCCTGTTGAATCAGAAGCTGCCTTTTAAGAAGATCCCCAGGTGATCCACAAGACCTCTCAACCTCAGGCTCTCTGTCCATCCAGCGGGGAGGCTGAGGCCAGCCTTACAGTGTTCTGGGGCATTGCTGCTGTGGAACACTTGAAGTCAAGATGAACTCTGAAGCTTTCTGTCCTGGGTTTGGAGCGTTGACTGAGTTGTCCTCGGTTTGGGTGGGTTAAAGCAGCCTGTCGTAGGTATCATGGATTATGCATGAGATGGGGCACCCAGTACTGACTGGAGAGGGGTGCAGAGGCCTTACCAGTTCAGGGAGGTCCCCCAAGTCAGGGAGGGGGTGAAAACATTCTCAGTGCATGAGGGTTGATCACCATGGGCTGGGGAAGGTGCCTGGGGTGACCCAGCCTGGTTCCCTGCAACCCCCTAGTCCTGTCCTGTGCTTGAGGGTTCACGACTTTGAGGAGGTCAAGTGGGCCCAGGGGTGTATCTGACTCACACTTGATGTTGGCCCCCTGGACCTGGATGCAAAGCTGCTCCATTTTGGTGCTAGGGGACACTGTCGCTGTTTACCAATGAAGCTGGGGGCATCTTAGATGACTTGATTGTGACGAACACCTCTGAGGGGCACCTGTATGTGGTATCGAACGCTGGCTGCTGGGACAAGGACTTGGCCCTCATGCAGGTAGAGACCCTCTGTATTCTAGGTACCGTCTTCCTTATTCACAGAGCAGCATCCTTGCTACCCAGGACAGACCTGGCGGGGTCAAGGGGCTCAGAAAATAGCTTTTTGCATGAGGGAACAACAGGCCGGAGTGGACCCCCCTGGGGTGTGCCAGGTTTCACTGGGGTAGGGGGAGCAGTGGGGAGGTGAAGCCGACCTGGGCTCCTAGGTGAGCATCCTCTGGTGAGGTTGGGGGGCTGGAGCCTGGTATTAGGACTGGCTGACCTGGGCTTGGGTCTCCCCTACCACTTAGTTACATGGCCTTATGAGATGGGAACCAGCTGGCTCTGCCCAGCTCTCAGCACCTAGGGCTGGTCCCAGAAGTCGATGTGGTGTTTCTGTGTTTGCATTCAGGACAAGGTCAGGGAGCTTCAGAACACGGGCAGTGATGTGGGCCTGGAGGTGGTGGATAATGCTCTGCTGGCCCTACAAGGTGAGCAGCCAGGCTGGGGTTGGAGCTGACCTTGGCCTTCCTGGCTTCTTTGACAGTCTAGCAGAGGCCATACCAGGAAGGTGTGGATGGTGTGCAATTTGTATGCTGTATCGTAAGCTGGGTATCATGCCCTCCCCGCAGCGGCCCCAAGGCTCCGTGAGCTATAGGCAAGAGCATCTACCCCCACCTGCAGTGGAGGACTTGCTCAGGATTTGTCCTGGTCCCTGCATAAGGGCTGCAGCCCAGCTTTGAGGGGCCCTGGGGCCTGGACACTTGGTCACTGGCTCCCTGGGCCCAGGTCCCACTGCAGCCCAGGTTCTCCAGGCTGGTGTGGCAGACGACCTGAGGAAACTGCCCTTCATGACCAGTGCTGTGATGGAGGTGTTTGGTGTGTCCGGCTGCCGCGTGACCCGCTGTGGGTACACGGGAGAGGATGGTGTGGAGGTGTGTCAAGAAGTGGGGACAGGGCGGTAGTGCAGGGCACAGGCCTGAGGCCAGCAGCCCACCTACTCCCTGCTGTCCCTCACAGATCTCAGTGCCAGTAGCAGGGGCAGTCCGCCTGGCAACGGCTCTGCTAGAAAACCCAGAGGTGAAGCTGGCAGGGCTGGCGGCCCGGGACAGCCTGCGTCTAGAGGCAGGCCTCTGCCTGTATGGGAGCGACATCGACGAACGCACCACACCTGTGGAAAGCAGCCTCAGCTGGACATTGGGTGAGTTGGGTTGGCACTCAGAGATGGGATCTGAAGGCTGGAGTGGCCCTTAATGAGACCAGCCAGCCTGTGACTGCCCCCAAGGTTGTGTAGCCTGGAGCCAGTGACTCAGCCTTCCCGAGCCTCCAATCCCTGAGGGAGCCACTGGGGCTTTGCCCATGAGATGCTGAGGACCCTCAGCAGGCTGAGATGGGCAGCACGGCCTCCAAGACCAGGGGGCAGGAGGTGGGCGGCTGACTGACCACATGGCAGGGGAGCAATAGGGCCCATGGGAGTCCGAGGGAAGGGGCCTTGGTGCTGATGATGTCACTGGGGCCCTTTTAGCCTAAGTCCGGTGTGTCATGCTCCAGGGAAGCGCCGCCGAGCCGCCATGGACTTCCCTGGAGCTGCAGTCATCGCCTCCCAGCTGAAGGGCAAGGTGCAGCGGAGGCGTGTGGGGTTTACGTGCGAGGGGGCTCCTATGCGGGCACACAGCCCCATCCTGAGCATGGAGGGCGCCGTGATTGGTAGGTGGATCAGAGAGGGTGGAGAGCGCTTGCCCCTTCCCCGGAGGGTAGAGCACTGGCCTGTCAGGGCGGTGCTGGCACATGGCCTCTGCCCGGACAGGCACTGTGACCAGCGGCTCGCCCTCACCCTGCCTGAAGAAGAACGTGGCGATGGGTTACGTGCCCTTGGAGTATAGTCGGCCAGGCACCACGCTACTGGTAGAGGTGCGGCGGAAGCAACAGAAGGCTGTGGTCAGCAAAATGCCCTTTGTGCCCACAAACTATTATACCCTCAAGTGAGGATGGCCTGGGGCCGGGCCTTCTGCTGGAGGGCGTTCTGCAAGGGGGAAGTCAGGAAGCCAAGGTGGAACCCTGGAGGGTAGGTGGCTAGGGAGCCGGCTAGTCCTGGGTGTCTAGCTGAGGGGAGCCCTACCACCTCATCCTGTGCCACTTCAATTTCAAGACCAATTTCTCAGTGATGGACCAGCTCACCCAATATCCTGTTGGAGCCTGTGCTCCCGCGACCCCACTCTTGCCTGCTGGAGGGTTATGAGAAGCATCCGTTCTGGCCCTTTCGCTCTGCCAGGTGCTGGCTGTGCCGCAGAGGCTCACCTTCCGGAGCCTAAAGCCTGCCTGACCTACCTCATCACAGCTTCTCACACTGCAAAGGGCCACTACCTTGGGCAGTGCCAGTCACCTCTTCCAGTTTACTTTCCATGAATGCAAACTGCTGCCTCTCCCTGGGCGGGAACGGTTCCTGACTCATGGAGGGTTGGCCCAGTAGGGCCGCTGTGCCTGCGTGAACTCGGGGATGGTTGAGGGGGCACGGACTCACTCTTCCACATTCCCAAGTTGGCCCAGTAGCACACCATGCCAGGCTCACCACCTGTTCTGCGCCTGAGGGTTCTTCTAGGGCAGGCTAGGCTTCCTCCCGGATTAGCCTTACCCTGGGCTGACCTTCGCCCCTGCAGCCCATTGGACTCCACTGACTCCTAAAAAACATTAAACGAGCTTCCTCCCTTCTCGCTTGCCACTGTCTAGTTTCCTCACCCTTTGCCCACAGGGTCCCAGGGGCGCCAGCCTAATGCTTGCCTTCCTGGCCTTTGAGACAGGCTCGCAGTGGGTTCTCCTTGAGTGGGGCAGGCCTGGAAGAGCTAATGGGATAGTGCCTGTGTTGGGCACCCAGCACTGTTCCTTCAAAGAGCTGGCATCAGCTCCCCACCATCGCAATCGTTAAATCCTGGATGCGGAGGGGCAGCAGTCCCTGGGGTGTTCTCTCTCCAGTTCCCCCTGTGCACGCGCACCCTTGCCCTGTCTGAATAACCACACAACGAGTGCACTTCCATGTTTAATAAGCCACATCCTCAGTTGAGCCTGGGGTGGAATGTGAGACATGTGAGACCCTGACTCTTTGTGGGGGTGATGTCAGTAGGGAGACCTGGGGCTGCAAAACCATCATCCTGCCAGCCAGAAGGTAACCTCTGCAGTAAGTCCCTGTGCAAAAGCACCGTGTAGTCCTACTTCCAGAGGACCTCTGCCCGAAGACGGTCTGGGCAAAGGCTGCCAGGTGGAAATGTGACATCTAGCAGAGGGAGCCGGCGGAAGTACAGGGAGGGAGGCAGGTCTAGGGCCAAGCTGCCCTCAGGAACTGGCGTTTGCCACCCATTCCGTTGGAAGCTCCCCTGGCCAGTTTTGGAAGCGGCATGCCTGCCTAGCCCGTGGCTCTATGCTCTTAAGGGTTCTTGGGGGCTGAGATGAGTGCTGGTGGGGAGCTAAGTCCCTGGGCTCTCAGGATGAAGGTCCTGTGGTTCCAGGTCAAGATGGGAAGGGATGAGGCTGCAGGGCAGGGTGGGGCTGCCCTGCACTAACTGCCTAGAATCTCTCTGAGGGGGCAGGGTACAGACCCACAACCCCATGGGCACTTAAGTGGTGGGGGTGGGAAGTCACCCCTAGGGCTCAGCCTCTTTCAGGCACCCTGTTTCCCTCCAAGAAGAATTGAGAAGAAAAAGAGTGTGACGCTCAGGATAAGACAGTTTCCATAGTCTGGCTCACGCCTGGAGAGCTCTGGATGGGCCAGGAAGGTGGGTGTTTGGTGCCTCCATGCCTGGATGGTGCCAGCTGACCCCTGCCTTATACTTGAATGGCCAACTAAGTAACCATAGAGTATAAGGCTGTGTCGAGGCCAAGATTCCTGGCTCCTTGCCAACAACAGCAAAACCAAATTCAGAAAACCTAAGGGCTTGGGGGAAAACGGACTTCGCTTACAAATCCCAGAGCCAGTCAACCTCAGGCTTCCTCAGAAGGACAAATTTCTATCAGGTCACACCCCAGGGGGATGGGAAGAGGGACAGGAAAATACCAAAACATAAAATGGACTGCTAGCCTTCCCAGAGGCTTCTCCTAAACTGACCCCTGAAAGAAGAGGAGCCTTCTCTCCTTAAGGCACCTGGATCAGGGTAGAGGCAAACTCTTTACTGGCCCAGTGCCTGGGGCTGCTGGACGAAAGGCCAAGGGCAGTGGAGGCCCAACCCCACCAGCACTGGGTTGCTCTCTGCCCCCCAACCCTGACCCCCCTGCAGTCATCCCTGGGATCTGGGCAGCAGTAGAACCCAGTGTGGGACCCAGCAGACCCAATGATGTCCTTGGAGACCCCTCTGCTGCTTTCCCTTATTCTCTGTGAGTTTTGAGAGGTTCATTTGCTGCTGTTTCCCTAAAAGTGATGGAGAGGAGAGAGAGGGGTTATTCCACGGGCAAGAGTCCCTGAGATTGTCTCTCTCTACTTTTTTTCATAGGGGCTGAGTGGGGCTCCGTAAGGCTACACTACAATCTAAATCTCTGCCGAGCTCCCACAGCCCACAGTGAGCCCACCACCTTTCCTCTTCAGACTCATTTTTCCTCCTGGTCCTCACCTCATGAAGGTACTCCCATCATCCCGCATTTGCCCATGAAAAACACCCGGACAGTGGCAGGTCTCCTAAGTGGCCTCTTGCCCTCTCTATTGGACCCCTTTATGTACTTGCCACAAGGCAGGCAGATAAAAAGGCAAATTAGATTAGGCCATGGTCTAATCGTGGTTGGGTCCTTCAATAGCTCCTAAAAGGCTAGGGCTTTGCAGGTCCCTCCACACCTTCATGTTTGAGCTTCAGCACTACAGTCTTGCCTATTTCTCCAATATGTCACCCTTGTTCTTCCTCTGGGCCTGTGCTAGCCATTCTCTTTGCCTGGCACGCTACGCCACCCCCGGTCTTTGCCTTCAGCTTAAGCGTCTCTCTTGAGAGAAACCCCTGACCACCCTCATCCCTGGACTGCTGCCATCTCCTTTCAAATGTCTGGCTCCGCCTGCAGGCAGGGTCTGGGTTGTCCTTGTTCTCTGGCCCCTGCCATGTGGTAGGAGCTCAGAGATTAGCTGAAAGGATGCCCTGATTAATGAGTTAATGTTCTACAAATGAGAAGGCTGACCCTGTTGAGGCCAGTAAGTGCACTAAGGACGGAGGCTTCAGCCTTTCCACCTGGGGTGGGGGAGGGGGGTTGCAGTTTCATCTCTGAAACTGAATAACACCGTCCACCCCCACAGGCTGCTGAACAGTAAACTTACGGACTGTTCAGACAGCCTTGTCATTTAAAATATGAGCTCTACTTGCATCTCTTGGAGTTTGCTGCAAAGGCCACTAAGCTGGAGGACCCCTACCCTGAAGTCTCCCCTCCCCCATCCCCAGCATAGGAGTGTCTCCCTACCTGCCTAGCACGGGGTTGAGGTGGGAACAGATTTACTCACCACGAAGGGAAATGCGTGGAGCCATCAGGTGTGGATCCGTTCTGGCCGCCCAGACCTGGGGGCAGGAACACATCCAGAGCTGCAGCAGGCTGGGTTGGGGATCTGAGCAGGCATCAGCTCAGGTCAGGTTAGAGGCTAGTGATGTTTGGCGGAGAGTCTGACCGGGGACCTAAGGAACTAGTGGTATTGTCGGACGAGGGTTCAAAGGGAGAGTTATAATGTGACGGGTGGACTAGTGAAGTTTCTTGCGTGAAATGGTATGTTGGCATGGGTCAGAGTAGAGCTTTAAGTTGCTATACGATTCTTACGGGACCAGTGGTGGTCTACAGGGGTTCTGGAGAGCCCAATGGTACAGTCCAGTGGGTGCGGGGGCAGCCAGTTCACGGAGGTTGGTGGGGAGCCTCACCTGGGCGGTGATACAGCCCGGTCACCGTGCTCCCGTAGAACCCCCAAGCCAGCTGGATGCCCAGGAGACTTAACACCAACCACAGCAACAGCAGCTTGAAGAGGGTCACTCGCATGTCCTGCGCCTCCCACTCCCGCAGGAACTCGCTGCCCAGGGCACCCAGAGCGCCCAGCACCGTGGCCGGCAGAGCCTGCAAGGACTGCCCAGACCAAGACTCCGCCATGACTAGCTCGCGCCCCACCCGGAGGACTGTCACCGCAGTTCCCGCTGCGCTAACGTCTGGTCTTCCGGGGCCAAGCCCGTTAGGGCGCACGCGTAAACCTAGGCAAAGCGAGCCTAACTCGCCTGCGCGAAGAGTTGGCAGTTTGGGAGGAGTATTAAAACCGCGCACGCGCACCTAACCCCACCCTGCCTACTTAAAGGATGAGTGACTCGAGGAGCACAAAATAGCAACCAGGTCTTTTATAGTCCCGGAGTTCCCGTGATGCCTCACGAGGCTGCAACTATTGGTTAAGCGCTTTGCTTTTAGGGCGTGGACGCACTCCTGTGCAATCGTGGCCGAGCTGTGCGTGCGCGCGCCTGCGCGGGGCCGCGACTGGAGCCAGCTCGAGCCCGCTGGGCATACGGGGGCGCGCACGTCGCTCCCCGCCCTCCCGCCGCCGCCCGCCCTCGCTCGCTCGCGCTCCCCGCCCGCCGCCCGCCGCTCGCTGCCCGCCGCCCGCCGCCCGCCGTTCTCTGTCGGTTGTCTCGGTAGTCCGCCGCCGTCTCCTCGGACACCCGGCCTAGTCTCCGAGCTTGCGACTCGCGGACAAGCGTCCCCGGCGCAGAGAGGCCAGAGTCGGAGCCGTCGCTTGAGGTAAGTGAGAGGGTTTCCTCCAGGCGCCCGCGGCGCCCCGGGCCCGCCCGCCCGGCACTCTTCCTGCCTCCCGTCCGCCGCCCCGCCACGGCCGCGCCCCACCTGCTGCTCTAGGCTGGTCGCCCCTGGTTCCTGACCCTGACTTCGGCCCGGGCCCCTTTCCCCGAAGCCGCGGCCCCGCCCGCGCAGTCCCCGGAAGCGCGCCCCGCGGCCTCCCTCGCCCCTTCCCCCGCCCGGCCAGGCCTGGTGGAGCCCGAGCTGCCCGCCGGCGGTCCCCGGCGCTTCCTCTCCCAAGGCCCGGCAGGGCGGAGGCTCCGAGCCGGGCTGTGCGGCCGGCTGCTGCGGAGCGCGCGTGGCTGTCGGAGTTGAAAAGGGAAAGAAACTCTTTACAACTCCATTTTGGCTTTTACATTTAATGTGAAACGTGAATCACCGATTTATACTGGGCGAAGTCCAGTTATGTTTTTTTAATGCAGTATTTTTAGAGGTTGTGTAAGTAGAAGATAGTGTTGAAAGCTTAGGAGTTAGGATTCTTCGGTATTGCAAAGAAGAAAATTAGCCATTAAACCCTTTTCATGATTTAAGTAATTTAATATATGTTTCATTAAAATAGCATTATTTGCAGTTTTGCTTAGTCTAAGTTATTACCTTGATTAGGAAATCACCGAAGCATCTGTCCTTAGTTATCGAATGGACCCAGTTACAAGTTGTCTTCATTAAATAGCACTGTTTGCACTCAGATTGATTTGGTCAAAATCATGTTTAGTAGTTTATGGTTGAAAATTGTCATTCTCTGAACCTCAGTGTTGGTTCTGCTTGTGTTTTTTGATGTTCCTGATTTCAAATTTTAACATCTGTTGGTGACTTGGGTGTGTGTAAGACAGTCTTTTGAAGTAACTTGCAGGTGTGTAATCAGATTATATTTCTCCCTGCCAAATCGGAAAGGGAAAAACGCACTTAAAAAAAATTCTTCGGTGTTGTATGTGGTGAGAAATTTTCAACCGCTTAATGCCACATACCCAAGTGTGTGATGTGTATGCATGTACCCTTGCATGATTGTCACTGATAAACATGGCAGAATTGGTAGAAATAATTGTTTTGAGTATTTAGCACAAGTTATATTGCTTGGACTGAATATACATGACATTCTTAATTGTAAAGGATAACTTATTGAAGGATCTCTTTTGATAAACTGTTTTGAGAATAGTTCCATTTACTCTTATAGAGCACTGGTGGTGGGGACATAACATATATAAGATGGAACTCGCTTTGAGTCAAAGTCTAATCCCAGACTTACAGCCTCTGTCCTCAAGAATCTGCTGTGGAGGGGAGAAGAGTGGGGATCCACTAACTTTTTCATAGATCCAGAATTGTAGAAATGAAAGGAATCTTCAGGATTTAATATAGTTCAACCTCATTTGCAGATGCGGAAATCGAATCCCAAAGACAAGTAAATATCTCAAGTCATATGTCTAGTCAGGTGCAGGCCACAGCTCTCTCCTCTGTAAGGCATTCTCCATGTACTCAGCTAAAGTTCAGGACTTAAGGGCTTATTCCAGTGTTTCCGCCTTTTATGTATCCTTTTATTATTGCTGATTTTATATGTATTGGGAAATTTTAAAAATTCATTTTCCCAACAACTTTCAGTTCTCTAGCTAAAGCACTCTCCTCTCTGTAACTTGGGGGTCCTGTAGCAGTTGATTGAAGTAGACAAATGCACGTACAGGGTCCCTGCCTGCTCTAGTCCTGGCTTTAGATTTTGGATCTGTTGAGGGACCAACTTGTTCCCCAGGGATCCCAGTCTCCTCTGCTCCGAATCTAACAATTATTAAGTCAGGCTAGGATGTTATCAGGCAGCTGGAGCTCTTCTGACTTGATTTGAGGTAGGATGGGGAGAAACTACAGGTATCAGTAAATAGTGCCTTGTATGGTGGTGGTTTTGTTGTAGAATTTTCATAGCACCGATTCCTTTCTTATCAGTTAACTCCTTTTAAAAATTTATCCTGGTTCTATGGGGGTATAAGTTATTAGGAGAGTGGAAACAGGTAGCTCTTCAGGTGTTTCCTGTCTGTGGGGTGGAGTCCAGGCTGTGACAGGAGGAGGAAGTGGGTTGCTACTTTGGGACTTACTTGTCCTAAAACGTTCATGTGAGTGAGGTTCACATTAACTCAGTCAGAAGAAAGACTTATATTTCACGTTTTAAGAGAACTAATTCCAGCTTGCTGGACTTCTGTAGACAGCAGCTTGGGTTTAATTGCATTATGGCTACTAGGGATAATGATAAATGGTACATAATTGCTGGATTTTAATCACATATTTGTAGTTTTAAAAGATCCCTAGGTATTTCTTCTTACCACTCAGTTTATCCCTTTATACACCTGGCCAATGGAACTCAGTTTGTCTGTAGCTACTCATTAATATAACTAAATTTTAAACTTGTGTTGTTGTGTCTTAGTATACGGTGTTCTTTGGGGACATGCTCACTCTTAAGTACTTTTGAGATTAATAAAGTTTTAAAAAACAGTTTAAAGTGAGGAATTGCTGTAAGATGCCTGTTTCAAGTGTTTCTATTTGAAATGACTCATTTTTAATCTGTGGGGCTGAAGTAATAAGTGAAGGTCTTGTATACTTATAGTTCTGGTAGTCATGTGACTGAAAATCAGATAGGCATTGAAGCTGCTCATTCTGGGTGTTGGTCTGAGTTTATTGGTGCTTCATGCAAATGATTCTGAATACATTTTTATAGCTAATAATCATCAAAATACGAACCCTGGCCAATGTGGCTCAGTGGATTGAACGCTGGCCTGCAAACTGAGGGGTTGCCAGTTTGATTCCTGGGCACTGATGTAACGAGACAACCCAAGGCACATGCCTGGGTTGGTGGCCAGGTCCCTAGTTGTGGGTGTGCAAGAAGCAACCAGTTGATTCGATGTTTCTCTCCGTCTCTTTCTCCCTGGCTTCCTGTCTCCCTAAAAATAAATAAAAGCCTAATTAAAAAAACAACCCCCCCCCCCAAGATACACTCTATTGCAGCCAGTTTGCAGTTTGTACCAAATAGAGCTTGATTTTTTCCCATTTAAAAAAAAATTCTAACCTGAGGATATGTTTTGATTGTGAGGGAGGGGGCACTGATGTGAGAAAGAAACATCCACCCATTGCCTCCCATAGGTGCTCCCTGACCGGGGATCGAACCCACAGCCTTTTGGTGTCCACGACGATGTTACAACCATCTGAGCCACCCTGTGAGGGCCTTTTTCTTTTTTTTTTTAAGAGGGTGGGTAAAGTAAATATGTTTAAGCATATTTATGGCAGTATCTTAATATTCAAGTGACAGGAAAGAGGAGAACACAAGCAGTCGGTGACATTGGGTTAGAATAGAGTGAAGAGAAAAGTGGGAGATAAAATGAAGTTAGAGAGGTGGACAGGGACCAGATCATGTAGGGCATTTAGGACACAGGAAGTTCTTCAGGTTTGTTCTGAGATGAGAAATTGGATTTTTTTTCTTTTAGCCAGGGAATGGTATGATCTGGTATTAAACAAATGGCTAGAATTGTTCACTGAGAGTACGGGTGGATCTGACTTTAAATAATAAGCTAATACTGATGATTTCTGACAAAAATATCAGGATTTCCTAATATTATTTCTTTGACCTATTTTTTAGAAGCCATTGATTTTTCTGACAGTTGCCTTTCAGCCTGCAATTTCTCTAATGCCTGTATTAAAAAGAAAATATGATTTAATAAAGGAGTCTATTAAAATGTTCATGGTAATCTTGTGGTGGGGGTACAGGTGTTCATTGTAAGATTTTTTAACTTTGAGGTGTGTTTGAAATTTTTTGTAATAAAAGTTGGGAAGTTAATTTACATAGGATTTGTCAGATTTTGAAATTTGCTTTTAAAGGGGGAACATTAATTTGTAATATTCAGAAAATAAGGTTGTGTACAATATTTTGTTTTTAAGATTTTATTTTTTAAGGGGGCGAAGGGAGAAAGAAAGAGAGGGAGAGAAACATCAATGTGTGGTTGCCTCTCGTGCACCTCCTACTGGGGATCCAGCCTGCAACCCAGGCCTGTGCCCTGACGGGGAATCAAACCGGCAACCCTTTGATTCTCAGGCCAGCACTCAACCTGCTGGGTTCTCAGGCTGGCACTCAGTCTACTGCGGCACACCAGCCAGGGCTGATTGTGTACAATATTAAGTGAAAGAGGCCAAGACTTGTGTAAATGTGATAAATTTTTATGGTATGTCAGTTAAGAGCTAAATTTTGCGCCCTTTCCCTTAACTTGGATTCTACATTACTTCACGGAAATTTGGGTAAGCCCATTTACATCTTGTGCTATGTGTTTTTTCTCGTGAAATGAATAGACATAATTCCTAAAAAAAAATTTTTTTTGGTATGTTTTTATAGTGCCTTTCATCTGAGAAGTTCGAGGCACTTTGTAGAATTTCTGCCACACAGGCCGTGGGTCTTGCAGCACGTTTGTAAGGTATGTAAATAGAAGCATTTTCTTTAATTCTCCTGACCCCATGGAATAGAGGTTATTATAAATTAATATAAATTCTAAG